GTTGGGTGCATATATATTTATAATTGTTATATCTTCTTCTTGGATTGATACCTTGATCATTATGTAGTGTCCTTCCTTGTCTCTTGTAACATTCTTTATTTTAAAGTCTATTTTATCTGATATGAGTATTGCTACTCCAGCTTTCTTTTGATTTCCATTTGCATGGAATATCTTTTTCCATTCTCTCACTTTCAATCTGTGTGTGTCCCTAGGTCTGAAGGGGGTCTCTTGTAGACAGAATATATATGGGTCTTGTTTTTGTATCCATTCAGTGAGCCTGTGTCTTTTGGTTGGAGCATTTAATCCATTCACGTTTAAGGTAATTATCAATACATATGTTCCTATTACCAATTTTTAAATTGTTATGGGTTTGTTTTTGTAGGTCCTTTTCTTCTCTTGTGTTTCCCACTTAGAGAAGTTCCTTTAGCATTTGTTGTAGAGCTGGTTTGGTGGTGCTGAATTCTCTTAGTTTTTGCTTGTCTGTAAAGCTTTTGATTTCTCGTTGAATCTGAATGAGAATCTTGCTGGGTAGAGTAGTCTTGGTTGTAGGTTTTTCCCTTTACTTTATATATATTGTGTCACTCCCTTCTGGCTTGTAAAGTTTCTGCTGAGAAATCAGCTGTTAACCTTATGGGAGTTCCCTTGTATGTTATTTGTCGTTTTTCCTTTGTTGATTTCAATAATTTTTCTTTGTCTTTAATTTTTGTCAATTTGATTACTATGTGTCTTGGCGTGTTTCTCTTTGGGTTTATCCTGCCTGGGACTCTCTGTGCTTCCTGGACTTGGGTGGTTATTTCCTCTCCCATGTTAGGGAATTTTTCGACTATAATCTCTTCAAATATTTTCTCGGGTCCTTCCTCTCTCTCTTCTCCTTCTGGGACCCCTATAATGTGAATGTTGTTGCATTTAAGATTATCTCAGAGGTCTCTTAGGCTGTCTTCATTTCTTTTCATTCTTTTTGCTTTATTCTGTTCCACAGCAGTGAATACCACCATTCTGTCTTCCGGGTCACTTATCCGTTCTTCTGCCTCAGTTATTCTGCTATTGATTCCTTCTAGTGTATTTTTCATTTCAGTTACTGTACTGTTTATCTCTTTGTTTGTTCTTTAATTCTTCTAGGTCTTTGTTAAACATTTCTTGTATCTTCTCGATCTTTGCGTCCATTCTTTTTCCGAGGCCCTGGATCATCTTCACTATCGTTATTCTGAATTCTTTTTCTGGAAGGCTGCCTATCTCCACTTCATTTAGTTGTTTATCTGCGGTTTTATCTTGTTCCTTCATCTGGTACAAAGTCCTCTGCCTTTTCATTTTGTCTGTCTTTCTGTGAATGTGATTTTTGTTCCACAGGCTGCAGGATTGTAATTCTTGCTTCTGCTGTCTGCCCTCTGGTGGATGAGGCTATCTAAGAGAGACAAAGACTTTTTGTCTCAATTCTTTGCACTCATCTTTCACGGCCCAGATCAAATGTCATCTTCTTGGTGTGGCTTTCCCCTGATTCCCACTGTCAGAATTGTCACTTTATAAATTGCTTGCCAAATGTGATCTCAGACCAGTTCCTTTCCTTTGGCCACCCCAGTTTCCTCATTTGTGAAATGAATGACACTGTTTACAAACTAACCTTCCAGGACTTTGGGAAGGTCCATTATAAGCCAATGGATGTAAAGGCTTAGGTCCCCTCCCATTGCCCTCCTTGCCAGGCAGAGGAGGTGGGGAGATACCCAAGGTAGCTGACTGCCAGGCTGTCTACAAAGCCGATAAAACCAAGCCCTTTCCTGGAATGGCCGCTCCCTCCTTCTCCACCCATGGAATTCCTATTCAGCCTTCAAGGTGAAGCATTCCTGCTGCCCTCTGGGAAAAGAAATATTCCTCTCCCTTTTGCTCCTGTAATCCTTTGTCCCTATTAAATCTCTTATTTCCTTTTAACTTTTATTGTATTCAACTTACATTATTATTGCTTGAGGTCGAGAACTGTATTTTGTTCTTTGGGGGTAACTTCACAGTGTGTAACATGATGCTCAGCACCTAGTAACTGCTCCAGAATTGCTCATTAACTCAAATTCGTGTTTCCTGGATTCTGCAGTGGACCCTGGAGGCAAACTCTACCATCACCAGCCTGATACTAGTTTATCTGAAGCCAACAGCTGAATTCACAATCTAGTCCATAGTGCCTGTGGAGAAGGGCTCCCACACAGCCTGGGAGTGGGAGAGGGGAGTGGGATGGCCGTGTATTTCCATGTGATCTCAGCTGCAAGCCAGTGGCAGCAGTGAGCCATGCCTTAAGGATTAAAGGACCTCTTCAGGAAACAGTGAGTCTGGAAGAGCCAAATCGCATCCTTAGTTACACATGTTTGTTCATTACATGTTCAACGACTCAATTTTTTTTTGCAAAAATTTAAAAATGCAGACATATAGTAGAACTCTGCATTTATCAGTCCTTCCTTCCTCCCAGCAGTTACTGAAGGAAACAGACCCTAACATTTATGCCAGGTACCTGACCACACTATCACACTGTACCCTCACAATGATTATTTGAGGTAGGTAGCGCTATTACCTCCATTTGATAAATGTGGACATTAAGGCTGAGAGAGGTTAAGAAACTTGCCCAAGGTCAAGGAAACTAAACCACGGGGCTGACTGAGAACACCTAGCTCTTTCTTCTCACTCAGTACACAATGCTACCTTCCCATCTGAGGGTCAATTACTCGAGAAACGGATCTGATGCATTTCCTGCCCCCTCCAGAAATTTGTGTTCCAGTAGAGGAAGCTGATACACAAATAATTAAAACATAAAGCACCAACAATAAAACTATGGAATAGAAATATGTGTAATGGATTGTGTGGGAGGCTGAAAGCAGAGTGATCAGTTCAGGCCGGCGTGGACCAGGGAGGGCTCCACAGAGACTCTTGGAAGGGGAGTGTGTGCAGGATAACTTGCATTTTGACGGGTAGAGAATGAGGAAAGGAGAGAATGCAGGAGTCTGAGGCAGAGGGGACTACATGTGCAAAGGCATGCAGAGAATGCCAGGCATACTTGGGCAAGGAGACTAGATCGGGGGAGCCAGAACATGGGATTTTTGAGGACGATCTGGGCTGTGCCAGGCTTAGTTTTGTCAAAGTGTTCGACTTGTTTCTTTAAGCCCCAGGTGGCTGCTGACAGCCTCAGAGGAGAGAAATGACATGAGCTGAGCTGCACTGTGCAAGAGGAAGGACCTGCAAGGACCATCTCTGAGTAGGAACTGGGAGGTAAATAGGGTCCTGCATCCTTCAGATATGTACCCTCAGCTTCCAAGGTCTCTGCCAGTGTTGGTTTTAGGGATGAGAATAAGAGAACAGGAGTCTCTTTCCTGTTGAAAGAGGCAGGTCAAAGACCAGAACTGCTGCGGGGCCTTGGTGCACTGCCTCGCTCCCCACACACCACCCCTAGCCCATGCCTCAGAATGGCAGAAGTGTGGCTGCTCTGAGTAATGAGGACGAGTCTGCTGCAACAGCTGGACACCCTCCCCTAGACGAGGTGTGACACGCTGCCTTCCGCCAAGGGTAACTGTGGGCTCAGCCTGCAGTGCTCATCCCAAATGCTGCCTTCAGAACCGGAAGACTGTTTTTCCAAATTAACAAAAGATGTTCTGGATCCATGATTACATGTTCCCCACATAGCACATGATTTATAAACACAGATTTATAAATTCTATGTAAACGTAAATTACACATCTGTGCACAGTATGTTGTAAATTTAAGTATTTTAACACAGACCGAAACAATGTTCCATGACATATAATAAACCCAGGAGCTCTTTAATCATCAGTGCTAGAACTATGTGTTGACAATTACCTTGCACTGAAGACTTAAAAATCCTCCCATTTTTTCCTTTTTAATTTTTAGAAAATGTATATGCTGAACTCACCGTGAAAAAAGCCAGGTGATCTCTTTAGAAAACTGCCCCCAAACTCTTTGGCTCTGAAAGAAAATGCAGTGCCAAATTTTTGCCTAATAAAATGACGATTTGAGTGGAATCTGAGTCAAACCCAAATGAAGGAATACTGGTTCTTTGAATCAGCAAAAGAATTCAGTCTCTGGCATCCAACACTCCATTATTCATGGGCCTGAATTGGCAGGAGAGCTGTTGGCACATTGGAGATGACCAGGAAAGCAGGGTTTGGAGGGACAGAGGGAGGGAGGAAGTTGGAGGTAGATAAGGAGAGAAAAACAATCTGAAATACCTCTCAGGCCAACTCTGAACAACATGTCGGGCATTTACTATTCCGAGGTGAAGAAGTTCCACTATCCCCTTGCTAGATACTCTCTCAGCTCATTTCTCTGCACATGGGGTCATTTCACTGAGCAACTGCTTAAAAACAAATGCCTCATTGGGCCGCTGCCCCAACCAGAAAGCGCTTCCGGAGTCCCAACAAGCAGGGCCAGCAAGAAGATTGATTCCCCTCCATGAGACAGCCCCTCCCTGAGCCCTTGTCCCAGGACCGCTCACCGGGGCCTGCGGAAGGTCAGGCCGTAGTGCTGACAGGCCAGCCCCACGGTGGGCGTGTACACGATGGGCATGAATTTCTCCACGTCCGACGTCAGCACTCGGTAGAAGAGCTTCTCGTTCCGGTCTTGGAGCGTCATGAGGATGATGTACCTCGGGAGGCGAGACAAGAACCAAGCTGATCACGTGAGCACCATCTGCGGCAGCACGGAAGGCCCCTGATGCAAAGACCCAGGGCTCCCACTCAGCTACTTTCAATGGCACCTTCGTGGGCAAGTCACCATCTCCTCTAAGCACGTGTCTCATCAACTATGAAATGTGGAGAATAGTACCTGCCTTATGGTGCTTATTACTACACGTGCTGTAGGTGCTATTCTAATTATTTTTCATTAACTCATTTAACATGGGGAACATGCCTCCCAATGACTTGGAAGGTGGGTACTATAATTCTGACTATTTTAGAGACAAGGAGATCAAGGCACAGAGAAATGAAATAATTCACCCAAGGGATCTGAACCTAAGCAATCTGACTCCAGAATCTGTGCTCTCAACCATGATGCAGGACGGTTAGTTACACTATTATTATGGGGACATTAATGAAGGACAACAGAATAATGGTATTCTGGGGATGGGGGAGGGTCAGGGAAAATACTGGGTGGACCAGTGATATATGAACTGGCCTTTTCTACCACACAGGGCTGGTTCCTGTCACAAGCAGTGTTCACCAGTGGTTGAGTACCAAGTGATCTCAGGAAGCATGTTCCCCCCAAAATCTCTCTCTTACTTAGTTACTGAAGCATGAAATCACTAAGCCAGGAATAAAAGCCTTCCATTCAGACTCCTAAAAATGCAAAAAACCGTCTGGGAGAAAAAAACCAAGGGATTGAAATTCCCAGTGAGGTGTAAGTGACTGCTGATATCGCAACCTTTCGGGACAACAGTTTGGGAGAGATAATGAAGGCACGTGAGGTCCTGGCATGGAGTGGGGTGACAGAGATGCTCTGACAGGGGAATGATCCCTGGGTGTGGTGTCAGGGTCCTGGGTGTGAATCGCGGCTCTGCTCTTCACTAGCTGTGTCACTGTGAGGAAGTCTTGTGACTTCTTGGGGCGTCAGCCTCTCCTTCTTCACCAAAGACACTGGTTCAGAACTAAAAAATGTGTTTTAGGAGGCACTTTTTGGAAGGGAGGATTTATGCTTAGAATAGCCAGCCAGGAGCTCAGCTCAGCACTAGTGTAAGGATTCCCTTACTCAGTAGCCATTTGTACACATCACTTCTCAATTCTGCATTCAGTGATGTCAAGTTGGTAAGTTGAAATTGGCCATGGTGGGAGTATTTACACCATGGAAACCGGCAAATGCTCTAAATTCCCACCCAACGGGCCCAAAGCCAGTTCTTAAACATTTACTAGCACTCCACTGTCCTTACCCGTAAGAAGCTGGGGAGTGTCCTTAGCATTTCCCCCTAAGCACCTGCTGAAATGAGGGACTCCAGGAATGAGTGGGTCAGAGTAGTCAACAGGGCAAGTGTCAGTAGCAAACCCTCTAGCACTCCCATCATCAGGCCTCTGCCCCCTGAGCCTGACACATCTTCCCAGGCATATGAGTGAGGCCCATCTAGCTGGAAAGAACTGGAAAGGGAAGGATTTTGGATTTTGATTTTTAGGGCTTAATATCTTTAGGAAAGAGGATTTCACCTTGGACTTTAATTCTTCTTTGCAATTTAACAAACGAGAGAAGTTTGGATTGTTCAAAGTTAGGGCACGTCTAATATTGTTAGCTGGAATCAATGTGTACTTTATGGTTTGCTCTTCAGGGTGACGAGGCTAGACCCAATCTGAGTGGAATAAACAAGAGGGAGAGAATGTTTGGCTTGGGCTGCAGTATGGCCTTGGAGTTAATGTGAGTAATGACCATAGAGGTTAGTGCTGCAGGGGAGGGGGAGGGGGAGGGGGCAGAGGCTTCCTTACCCACTACTGCTCAGAAGTGATGGATGGTACTGGGGGAACATGGGAAGATCCTGACAAGCTGCTGCACTCAGCCCCTAGGGGGACAGCCGCACCCTCAAGGACCCAAAGTCTTGGCCATTAAGCTCTATGGATATGTAAGAGGAACACTTATCTTCTCCCTACATTTCTGCTGGAGCCCATGGCAAGACGACACATTTATTTAACAAGCTCTCACATAGCGCCCACTATGGGCCAGGCACTGCTCTAAGCATGCCACAAATACGAATGTATTTAATCCTCATCATAACCCTATGAGTTAGACACCACTGACATACTCAACGTACATATGGGGAATGACCCAGAGAGGCTAAAGAACTTTTGCTGTTAAGTGGTAAAATGAGAATTTGAACTCAGTCTAGGACTAGCGTCTAGTCCTATAGCCACTAAGCTTCAATGCCTCTTAGCTACGGTGTAGCAGAGAGGTTGAAAGCACGGACTCTGGAGCTAATTACCTGTGTTTAAATCCTGTGACCTGTGAGGTCACTACCTGTTCATAGCCATGTGACCTGTGAGGTCACCACCTTCTTTAGTAAGACTGATAAAGCTGACCCTGTGATCCCCCATTGGCCTTTCATGTCTACATCCCCACTGGGGAGGAACCAGAGGGGCAGCAGGGTTGTTAACTACTCCCCCTAAACCTCCAACATACAACATCCCAGGTCCTTCCCAAGGTGCCCCTGTCCATTTCCCCTCTTTTCCACCACATTCCCCTTATTCCAGGAACCTGGGCCATGTACCACTTCCTTAACATACGTGTCCCTACATTTTTGCCCCACTTCTTCCCGCTGAGTAAAATGCCTTCCGTGAACCCCACTGCTGAATGCTGACGTCCTATTGGTGCTTCCTGGGCTGATTCTGCTTCCATCACTTCCCGGGGGCCCAACCAGATTCCACTGGTTGGAATTCAGGCTCCCTTCTCAGTCCTCCCAGGACACATTGACTGTGCCTTGCTCATAACAAGCCCTGGTCCTCAAGGAGACCATCACCCTATGAAAGGCAGGGCTGGATCTGGGATCTCTCAGGGCTCTCAGCCTTTCCTGGCTAGAGAGTATCCAGAAAACCCTCTGTGGACCACAGGAAACAGACAGCTAAGCGCGGGGCTCTGGGGAGAGAGAAGAGACTTTAGGTACTAACTTGTCCAGGTCACTCTGCTGCCGCTCGTAGTATCTCATAATCCGGAGGAGCTGGACGTCCTGGCTCAGAAAGCAGGGAGGTATTAGGCCATGGATCCCAAGCTGCAGCCTTTCCTCAAGGGTAAAGGCCATGCCCTGGGGAGAACAAGAAAGAAACACACACACATAAATGGATACGCAGGATACCAAGGAACAGAAGAGTTCCATCCACAGACAGGCCAAAGTCACTGTGACTCAACAGCAAGGACCCTGGACTCAAATCCCACCTCTGCCATTTAAGTAGCTGGGCAATCTGTGCCAGTTATCTTGACTCTTCTGGGCTCCAACCTCCCTTAGAAAAACATGGAAAATATCTATATCATCAGGGGTTCTTTTGGTTTATTTTTTTTAAAATGTATTTTATTTTTAGAACAGTTTTAGATTTACAGAAGAATTGAGAAGATGGTACAGAGAGTTCCCACATATCTCCTCACCCCGTTTCCCCTATTATTAATATCGTCCATCAGTATGGAACATTCGTTAGAGTTAATGAATCAACAGTGATACATTATTATTAAGTAAAGTCCACGGTTTATTCAGATTTCCTTAGTTTTCACCGAATGCCCTTCCTTTGTTATTCCAGGATCCCATCCAGGATCCCACATTACATGGAGTCATCATGTCTCCTTAGGCTCCTCTTGGCTCTGACGTTCCTTGGTTTTGATGACCTGGGAGCATTTTGAAGAGGACTGGTCAGGTATTTTGTACACTATGCCTCTACTGGAATTTGTCTGATGTTTCTCTCATGACTGCCGTGGGGTAATGGGTTTTGAGGAGGACGACCACAGAGGTGGAGTGCCATTTTCACCACATCAGATCAAGGCACACACTAGCAACATGACTGACCACTGTCGATGTTGACAATGATCACTTGGTTGAAGTAGTGCTTGTCAGGTCTCTCCACTGTAAAGCTACTTGGAATTCTGCATGGGATATTTGTCTCATTTGTTTGTTCAGTCATTAATTTATATTAGAATGAACTCATGGGTATTTGTTTTATACTCTGGGTTATAATCCAATACTGTCTTATGTATTTTTTTTGCTCAAATTGTTCTAGCTTTGGCCATTGGAAACTCTTTCAGTTGGCTCTGTGTCCCTTTAACTCCTATAATTTTGCTTGTCCCTTCCCTTCCCTTCCTTTCCTTTCCTTTCCTTTCCTCCCTTTCTCTTTTTCATTACTACTTCTTATTTTCTGCCACTACAAGGTGCTCCAGGCTCATCTTGCACATTGCCTGCCCAAGTCCTAGAATCAGCCATTTTTTTCAAAGAGGCTGGATTCCTTTTTGGAGCATGGTATTAGAAACCACAATCTGGGTTCTACTTATTCCTTGTGCTCCTTGCTACTGGAGTTTCTTTGTTTTCAGTCCCTCTCAGCTGACAGAGTAAGGAAATGAATCTATACTAAGCTAAATACCAGTTCATACTAATGTCTCTAACTCTAACCCATTACCACATGGATCTTTCTAGCCTCATCACCTTGCTGGTCTGTCAGTTCTGATTCCAACAGTGAGAGACTTAGCTCCCATCATCTTCCATCTACATGCTTAATTACTCAGTACTGTAATATATATGTAGTGGTATGTTGTTATTGCTTTAATTTGCAACTCCCTGTTGACATGTAGTAGTATCAACACTGTTAACCTGTACTACAGTGGGAAACAACTTTATGAGCTAGAGTATAGTGCTTATGTGTCATTGTTTTTGCCTTTACTCTTATAAACTCCACTCATTTCCGAAGTCACTTAGATCAGCACTTTTCCTTGAACCCCCTTCACTGACAGTTAGATTCTCTTATCACAGTCTGCATTCCTTCCTGGGATCCTCCAACCTATTAAATATTTAAAAATAAATCCGAATACATTAAGGTCCATTGTTTGTACTGTAAAGTTCCATGAGTTTTGACAAAGGCATAATACAATGTATCCATCATGATAGTATTGTACTATAGTACAATACTATACAGTTTCAGTGCTCTAAAATCCCATGTGTTTTACCCATTCATTCCTCCTTCCACTCCCTGAATTTTGGCAAGTACTGATTTTTTCTTTTTTTTTTTTACTGTCTCTACAGTTTTGCCTTTTCCAGAACATCATACAATTGGAATCATACATTATGTAGCCTTCTCAGACTGGCTTCCTCTCACTTGGCAATAAGCACATAAGGGTCACCCATGTATTTTTGCGGCTTGGTCACTCATTTTTTTTAAATCATTGAATGGCATTCCATTGGTTGTACCACAGCTTGTTTCTCCATTTACCTAAAGGACGCCTTGGTTGCTTTCAGTTTTGGGTGAATATAAATAAAGTTACTATAAACATTCATGTGCAGGTTTTCGTGTGAACATACATTTTCAAAACAGTTGAGTAAATACACAGAAGTGCGACTGCTGGATCATATGGTAAGATTCCACTTAGCTTTTTCAGAAGCTGCCAAGCTGTCTTCCAAAGTGGCTGCATCACTTTGCATTCCCACCAGCAGCGAATGAGTTTCTGTTGCTCCACATCCTCTCTAGCAATTGGTATTACCAGTTTAAAAAATTTCAGTCATTGTAACAGATATGTAGTGGCATGTTATTATTGTTTTAATTTGTAACTCCCTATTGACATATTATGTTGAGCATTTTTTTATATGCTGATTTTTCACCTGTATATCTTCTTGGTAAGGTACTGTTCAGATCTTTCACCTATTTTTTAATTGTTTTTTTCTTATTGTTGAGTTTTAATAGTCCTTTGATCTACAGTTTTAATGCAATCCCTATCAAAATCTGAATGGCCTCTTTTGCAGAAATAGGAAAGCCAATCCTCAAATTCATATGGAATAGCAAGGGGCTTTGAACAACCTAAACCATTAAAAAAAAAAAAGATTTCAAAACTTAACATTAAACTGTGGCAATCAAAATAGTGTGGTGCTTTAAAAAAAGGAAAAAAAAACAGTGTGGTACTGGCATAAGTACATATAGATCAACAGAATAGAATCAGAAATAAGAGTCCAGAAATAAACCCATACATCTGTGGCAAGTTGATTCTTGACAAGGATGCCAATTCCATTCAGTGGGGAAAGGATAGTTTCTTCAAGAGATGCAGCTGGGCCAACTGGATTTCCACATGCAGAAGAATGAAGCTGGACTCCTAATTAACTCAAAACAGATCAATAGCCTACATATAAGAGTTAAAATCATAAAACTCTTAGAAGACAACATAGGAGTAAGTCTTCATGACCCTGGGTTTGACTATGGATTCTTAGATATGACACCAACAGCACCAGCAGCAAAGAAAAAATTAGATAAATCGACTTCATCTAAAAACTTCTGTGCATAAAGGTACACTATCAAGAAAGTGAAAAGACAATGTACAGGGGCTTCCCTCAGGGCTCAGTGGTTAAGAATCCTCCTGCCAATGCAGGGGACACGGGTTTGAGCCCTGGTTCGGGAAAATCCCACATGCCACGGAGCAACTAAGCCCGTGCACCACAACTACTGAGCCTGCGCTCTAGAGCCCACGAGCCACAACTACTGAGCCCACGAGTCACAACTACTGAAGTTCGTGCACCTAGAGCCCATGCTCCGCGACAAGAGAAGCCACTGCAATGAGATGGCTTCGTTCTCTGCAACGAAGAGTAGCCCATGCTCGCCGCAACTAGAGAAAGCCCACACACAGCAACGAAGACCCAACGCAGCCAAAAATAAAATTAATTAATTAAATTTATATATAAAAAAAGACAACATACAAAATGAGAGAAAATATTTGGCAATCGTAGGTCTGATAACAGTTTAATATCCAGTCTCTAAGTAACTGCTACAACACAACAAAAACAACCCAAGTAAAAAATGGGCAAATAACTTGAACAGATATTTCTCCAAAGAAGATATACAAATGGCCAATAGCATACGAAAAAATATTCAGCATCATTAGTCATTAGGGAAAGTCAAATCAAAACTACAGTGAGATACCGTTTCACACCCGCTAGGATGGCTGAACTATAAACCAAAAAACCAAAAAAAAAAAAAAAGAAAAAAAGAAAAAAAAAAAAAAAAAAAACCAAAACACCCCCAGTAAATAACAAGTGCTGGTGAAGATGTGGAGAAACTGAAACCTTTGTACATTGCTGGTAGGAATGTAAAGTGTGGCAGCCCCTATGGAAAAATGGTTTAGCATTTCCTCAAAAAGCTAAACACAGAATTACCATATGACCCCAGTATATAATTCTACTCCTAGTATATGCCCAAAGGAACTGAAAGCAAGGACTTGAACAGTTACTTGTACCCCAATGTTCACTGCAGTATTATTCACTATAGCCAAAAGGTGGAATCAACCCAGGTGACCACCATGTGAACAGATAAACAAAATGTATATACGTACAATAAAATTTATTCAAACATAAAAGAGAATGAATTCTGAGACATGCTACTTCATGGATGAACGTTGAAAACATGATACGGAAGGGCAGATACAAAAGGAAAAATATTGTATGATTCCACTTACATGAAATATCTAGAATAGGCAAATTCATGGAGGCAGAGAGTAGATTAGGATTACTAAAGGCTGGGTGGTGGGGAAGTGGTGGGTGAGTTATTACTTAATGGTTACAGAGTTTCTATTTAGGGCAATGAAAAAGTTTCAGAAATGGGCAGTAGTGATGGTGGCACAACATTATGAACGTACTTAATGACAATTGTACAAATGGTTTAACCAAATTTTGCTGTAAACATATATATATACTTTACCACAACTTAAAAAGTTAATAATGGATTATCTCCCAAACCACTGAATTGTGTACTTTAAATGAGTGAATTGTGTGGTATGTGAATTATAACTCTATAAAGCTGTTTTAAAAGAATTCTTTGCATATTTCGGATACAAGTCCTGTATCAGACATGTGTTTTGTAAATATTTCTTCCAGTACGTGGCTTGTCTTTTCATTCTCTGACTGGTGTCTTTCACTGAACAGCATTTTCTGGTTTGGGCACTGGCAGGGAGAGATGGGGGACAAGTAGGACGTCATGGAATCTGCTCCCTGGCCCAGTGAAGCCCTCTGGGGACAGTGCCTGCTGGCAGAAGTTGCAGGACCTGTTCTCATAAGGGATACTGAGGGACATG